GATCTAGGAGTGGTCCGGTATTCTTCAATCTTCCCGATCTAGAAATCTAGATCTAGAACTAGATTAGATCTAGATCTAGATATATATCCTTCTAGATCTAGATCTAGATTCTAGATATATAGTAGATATAGAATCTAGATCTAGATATATTCTAGATCTAGATTATCAACGCTACTTACACACTCCGAAGGCCTAGAGGCAGAGGTGGGCCTACTCTTTTCCTCGCTGTCACCCTCTTCACCTTCATCTTCAAGACGCCTTCTCCTCCTGTCTGATACTGACATATTTATTATTTATCATGAAATTCCTCAACAAAACCAATCCAGCTTTGCATTGACTAGAATCTAGATATCTAGATCCAGATCCCTATACTAGGCCTAGACTTTCTAGATCTATGCAAGAATATAGACGTAATGGCGGCGCACTGTAACCAGATAAACGGTAGGAGAATAAGCAGTTAAAGCCTAAATCTGTGCCTGAGTGGAGAAAAACAACAACGATTAAAATAAAAAAGAGAGATTCAAAATATTTTTAAATTGATAACTTTTTCACTTTTTGGTATATTGAAAACACCCTGAAATGTCAAACAGCCGATTTGTCACATTTTGCCACTGCAAGAACTCGGATTCGGACAACTCGGCAGGGCATTCGGAATTCGCAGACGGCTAGCCTGGGCTAAGTAAGTTGGCCAAGGCCTAGCCTATTCGGTAGCAAGAATGCAAGTTGCAAATAGAGCTCTTTTAGTATAAAGTGAAATTTGGTCACCAGAGGAATGCGCGGACAACAAAACAGAGAGAAGCAATGACTACTGACCATTCTTCGTGCCATGGTTTCACCATGCGCAGCATGCCCAGTAGTACATGAAAAATGGCCGTCAACCGTGGTCATGCTGCACGAGGCAATATATAAAATATATAGCCTATATTATATTATAATAACATAGGCTCATGGTGCGCCTCAGGCGGTCGGTCTTCCGTCACGATCACGATCGAACGCTGCTCAATGGAGGCCGACCCTGACGTATTTGAACAGATCCGATGCGAGAGAAAAGGAAAGAACAAAGGTGTCGGAAAAGGGAAAAACGTGTTCGGGTGTGTGCGTGTGTGTGCGTGTGTATGTGTGTGTGTGTGCGCGCGCGGGCGTGCGTGTGGTTGTGTGTATGTGCGTGTGCGTGTGTTTGTGTGTGTGTGTGTGAGCGTGTGTATGAGTGCGTGCGTGCGTGCGTGCGTTCGCGCGCGCTGTGTGTGAACGTGCGCGTGCACGTTTATGTGACCGTGCGTGCATGTGTGTCTGTATTATGTGTATGTAAACAAGTGCACAAAGTGTGAGCATGCAAGTTAGCACGGCGTACGTGAATGAATGCACGAACGCTCTCGTGTGAGCGACGTCGAGGCATCCACGATAGGAAAAGACGCTCATAAAAGTGCAACTGTTTTTAAAACAGTCTGAACACCACCACAGAGACGAGTAGACTACGCATGACCTAGACGTACCCAGCTCAGAGCGACGGGAATAGATCCCAACTTTCCAATTGCGCCCTCGAAAGGCCTGCTCACGAAGAGCAAACTCTTCAAGAGGAAACGGCTGATACATTGGAGCGACACAAAAACCCTTTCACACAAGAAGAATCGCCGCGAGATTACCGATTTGGAAGGGGACAGAGAGAGAGAGAGAGAGAGAGAGAGAGAGAGAGAGAGAGAGAGAGAGAGAGAGAGAGAG